TGGCACGGGACGCAGGTGCGCGCCCAGAGTGCGGCGTCCTTCTTCACCGACGGCCACACGAACCGCCGCGTGACCAGGTCGACGGTGGCGCGCACTCCCGGGTGGGCCAGATCGTGCACGTGCCGGAAGTAGGCGCGCCGGAGCGGTGCCGGGATCCACGGCCGCGGTACACCCTGGGACTCGTCGATGACCAGCGTGCGGCCGCTGGGGAGCCGGGCGTCTCTGAGTTTGAGCCCGTGCTCTGTCGAGCGGAAGCGCGCCAGCTCTTCGTCCTCTTGCTGGCAGGCTGCGAGCTTGTCGAAGTCGTCGACTGGCGGGCACGGTGCTGAGAGCATCGCCACTGTTCGACTCAGAGCGTCCGCAGCTGCGTTTTCTTTCCCAGGCACGTGCCTGATGTCGGTGGTGAACTGGGAGATGAAGTCCAGGTGCCGGATCTCCCTCGGCGAGTAGCTGGCTGACCCGGACGAGACTGCCGACACGAGGGCCTTGTGGTCGGTGAAGATGGCGAACTGGCGGCCTTCCAGAGTGTGCCGGAAGTGCTTGACCGCCAGATACGCCCCGAGCAGTTCGCGGCCGAAGGTGCTGTAGCGTGTCTCTGCTGGTTGGAGTGACTTCGAGAAGAAAGCCAGCGGCGTCCAGGTCCCGTGCGAGTGTTGCTGCAGGACAGCGCCGACGCCGGTGTCAGAGGCATCGACCTGCAGACTCAGCGCTGCGCCGGGAGTGGGGTGCGCGAGCTGCGTGGCCTGAGCCAGGGCAGCCTTCACGCGTTGGAAGGCGTCCTCAGCGGTTGGCGTCCACTCCACCGGCGCCGCGCGTTTGCGTTTCTGGTCCAGCAGGTGGTGAAGCGGTCGGAGGAGGCCGGCAGCACCAGGCAGGAACCGGTGATAGTAGGTCACCAGGCCGATGAACCTACGCAGTTGGCGTTGCGTGGTCGGCTGCGGAAACTCCTGGACTGCGGCGACCTTCTCCGGCAGCGGGGCGATGCCGTCCGGGGACACATCGTGACCGAGGAAGCTGATACGGTTGACGCCCAGCACGCACTTCTTTGGGTTGATCGTGACGCCGAACTTGCCGAGACGTTCCAGTACCTGACGGAGGTGACGGCGGTGCTGCTCGACGGACGTGCTGGCGATGAGGATGTCGTCGATGTACACGTAGCAGCACGTCAGCCCGCGCATCACCTCGTCTATGAAGCGCTGGAATGTCTGACTGGCGTTGCGAAGACCGAAGCTCATCCGCTGCATCTCGAATAGCCCGAACGGTGTGACGATGGCCGTCTTCGGGATGTCAGCGGGTTCGACCGGGATCTGATGGTACGCGCGGACGAGGTCGATCTTCGAGAAGATGGTACAGCCGTGCAGGTTCGCGGAGAAGTCCTGCAGGAACGGTATGGGATACCGGTCCGGGACGGTGGCGGCGTTCAGGGCGCGGTAGTCGCCGCACGGGCGCCACTGTCCGGGCTCCTTCTTAGGCTCCATGTGGAGGGGCGACGCCCAGCTGCTCTTGGATGGGCGGGCGACCCCGAGGCTGATCAGCTTGTCGAACTCCTGACGGGCGATGCGGAGGCGGTCGGGCGGCAAACGCCGAGGGTGCCCCACACGAGGAGGTCCACGTGTCACGATGTGGTGAGTGACGTTATGGCGCACGGGCAGGAGTTGCGCAGATGTGGCCGTCACTCGAGGGAACTCTCTAAACAAGTCTGCGAGAGTGGGCGCCGCGCACATGCGCACACCGACGGAGCCGATGTCGGCTCGGGTTCCCACGGCGCACGTCGTGCCGTGTTCAGCCTGGAGGAGCTGACGGCGCATGTCCACCAGCAGACGATGATGGGCGAGGAAGTCCGCTCCCAAGATCGGCATCGATACGTCGGCGACCATGAATGTCCATGGGTAGTCCACTGTTCCGAAACGCACCGAAGTCGAAATAACGCCATGGAGCTTGATCTCTGTGCCGTTGGCTGCTTCCAGTCGAGGCGCGTCGGGCTGCTGCACAGTGGTGCCGTCGGCCACGGCTCGTGGTGGGACGACACTCACCTGTGCGCCGGTGTCGACGAGGAACCGCCAGTTCCGGGCAAGGTCGGTGACATAGAAGAGGGGCGCCAGTGTTGGCCGGCCCGTCTCCGCTGGCGCTAGCGCGGACAGGCGGGCTAGTTTCCCGACCAGGAGCACGGCGGTCTGCAGCGGTGGGCCTCCGCGCCGTACTTCTGGTGGTACCAGCAGTACCCTTCATCAGGTGTCACCGATGCCGGTTGAGAACTGCCAGACGAGGCAGGTGCGGGTCGGCGCGGACGGGAGCGGGAGCGGCCACGCCGAGGAGCGTCGGCACCGCCCCGCTGGAACACGGCCTCGATGCGTGCTACCGCAGCGGTGAGGGCGGTGACGGCAGCGGCCATGCCGGAGTTACCGCACCCGCAGGCGGCGGGCGGTCCGGCGGCGGTCACTGCGCTGGCAGGCGGGGCGAGCGTGACCCCAGGGCCGGCCGGCGGGCCACAGGCGGCAGCGACACCGGCCGTTGGCGTGCAGACAGCAGTCACGGCGGCGCCGCCAGAGGCCTCCTGGAAGCGGTCGGCCGCGCTGGCCAGGTCGTCGATGCCAGTGTCCTCCGGCAGCAGCGCGAGGGCGGCGCGGGTCGTCGGCGGCAGGCGCTGCAGGAACAGCGTCCTGAGAAGGCCGAGGTCGTGGCCCGCGCTGCCCAGCATGTGCTGCATGCTGCGCAACAGCTGCGTGGGCTTCCTGTCGCCCAGCTGGTGGTCGCGGAGGAGTGCCTCGAGGCGTGAGGCGCGCGACTGGGCCAGGCGCGTGCTCAGGGCCCCTTTTAGTTCTGAGAACGAGCCGGTCTCGGCTGTTATCACGTCTCGAACTTGTGAAGCGACATGCACAGGCAGGTTGGCCACCAGCAGCCGGAACTTGTCGTGGTCATCCGTGATGCCGGCGACGGCGAAGGCACACTCGACCTGCACCAGCCAGAGCTCGGCTTCTTCAGGTGCGTAGGCCGGCAGCCGGAACGACGCGAATGGCCGCGTCGGCGCGTCCTGGGCGGCACTCCCCGGCTCGATGGGTGACGGCATAGTCACTATATACAGCAAACACTAACACTAGAGGCACACTGAAAGACTGTCGGTAATCACTAGGCGCTCGCCGCGCTCACTGCGCTGCACTGCGTTGGCGCTCGCTGCGCTGCACTGCGTTGGGCGCTCGTTGCGCTGCACTGCGTTGGCGCTCGCTGCGCTGAGGCTAGGCCGCGTCACCAGCGCACTATTCACTGTTCGCGGCAGCGGAAGCCGGGTGAAGATCACCCATTCTTGCCGAGGCGATGGGGAGGCCAGGTCAAAGATGACCTCTTCTTGCCGAGGCGGAGACGATGACTTCTTGAGCTACCGATCACGTCGGGGTCACCATTTGTGGCTGGTGCCGTGGCGAGTCGTGCTCTAAGCCGGATGAAGCCGTTCCAGTGTTTGGGATTCGCAACTTGGGATTCCACACAACGACGGGCTGGGAAGTTCCCTGATGTGGAGCCGTCTCCCCCAAACACTTAGATCGGCCAAGGATAGCGATATATTTGAATTAGCATGAGCAAGGTATGTAGTGAACACAACGATGAGACCATTGTTCGTTTTGGCAAAGTTAAGGACAGTACAAAGCAGTGAGAAAACGTATATCAGAGCGAGAGATACTTTCTAGAAGAGTGCGTGAATGCCCACACGACGATGAACATTATGATACATACACACGAACATACATTTCTAAAACATTAATAAATCGGACATAAAAAATGATTAAGTGGAGCAGAGCCATCTGGCGGATATCGCTGAACCTGCGCCTCGCGTCAGCTGCGACAGCAGCGCCACGTTGAGGTCGACGGTGGCGCCGCCCCGCGTCGGAGCGCTCGCCAGTCGCCAGCGGCGGTAGTGCCGCGCCGCGTCGGAGAACGTGCGGCGGTGCACTACAGACGAACCCAACTTTTGCTCCAGGTGCCCCTTTTGTATTGGGGCGCCTCTCTTCCTTAGGCATCCCTCTCCTGGTAGGGCGCCTTTTTCTGGTGTGGCGCCACTTTCTGCTGGGGCGGCCCTATGCTGGGGGTACTCCTCTTCTGCTGGGGGCTCCCCACTACTGCTGGATGAGCCCAACTTTTGCTTGAGGTGCCCCATTTATATTGGAGTGCCTCTCTTCTTCTGGAAGCATCCCTCTTCTGGTGGGGCGTCCCCTTTCTGCTGGGGAGCCATTCTTGTGCTAAGGGCGCTCCTTTTCTGCTGGAGGCATCTCTGTTCAGGTGGGGCGCCCCCTTCTGCTGGGGTGCCCTTCTTCTGCTGGGGCGCCCTTCTTCTGCTGGGGCGCCCTTCTTCTGGTGAGGCGCCCCTTCCTGCTGGGGTCGCCCGTGTTCTACTGAGTGCGCTCTCCTACTGGGCGAACCCATGTTCTGCTTGAGGTGCCTCATTCCTACTGGGGGCGACTCTCCTCCGCTGGGGCGCCAGTCTTATGCTTGACGACCCCAACCTACGTTGGAGGTGCCCCACTTCTGCCTCGGGCGCTCCACTTTTGCTGAGAAAGTCCCGTTCTTGCCGGGGTGCCCCTTTTACCCATTTTTGGGGAACGATACGACTGGACACTTCCCAAGCCCGCAAGCAGCACGACGCCGGTCACGAGACGGAATGTAGCCGGGAAATCACCCTCGCCATCAGCTCAAGAGCTTATCGGTGTCGGGCGGCGTGTGGGGCGCCGCTTAGCCTATGGGGGTGCACTTTGACGTGATGGGGGTGCACTTTCAAGGGATGGGGGTGCACCTGCACCCCCATACATATAGAAAGTTACACCGCTGGCTATGAGTAAACTCATCTTACATCTGTAAGTACGGATAGTGTGCTAGCGTCTGAACATCGAGGTGAAGTTCATGAATCGTTGGTGAATGTTGCTGTGCTTCGGCTTACGAGCCTCGACAAATACTTGCATATGGGCCCGGCTCATTGGTGATATTTTCTTTCCAATACATGCCATCACACATGATAATTTGGAACGTGTATTTTGACATAAAATTTCGACACTGATGAATGAAGTACAATTTGAAGATACCGTCAGCAGCTTAAACCTAAACGCAGTCGAGAATACCAGCAGCCACAAACATCCCAAGAGAGTATTTTACAGTCATCTACCAAAGCAAAACTTGAATAACGAAACTTACGACCCAGAAATCGAAAAACCCCGAAATCATACATTAGCGCATTATACACATCTCTCGGTGAAGCTCGGTACTTCAATATCCTTCCCTGGCCGATAGGGGACACCACCAGCTACGCCACCGCCCCTACCGGCAGTTGAAAGACAAAGTCCACCGAATTGAGATCAACACCGTGGCAACGTGGGGCTCATCGGCGCACTGATGATTCGTGACCTCACACTGGGTCAGGTCATCCACCAGTGCCGGTAACGGCGTGATACCGTCTCCCGAGAGCGGAGTCAGGCCTATAGGGTCCGAGACGCAGGACCCTTCACAGCCAGGTAAGGTCACTATACGCCGCAGGCCGGCGGACGGACGGGCGGACACGGCCGGTACAGACCGGACGCAGCCGGTCATTACCGGTTATTACCGGTCGCAGCCGGTTGGCGTGGTCACCTGAGCCGGTACATTCGATGTCGCCCATATAAAGATCGTCGCGCAGGACGAGAACGGGGCGATTTTTCTACGCCTTCTACCCTCCGCTGAGCGGCCGCAGCCCTGGCGAGCTTCCTAATCACGTGACAGAGTGCAGACCCCCTGAGCACTTCTACCGGCCCCGGTCAAGTCACGTGACGGATGACCCAGGCCTCCAATCACCCCCCGGGCAATGGGCCCTGTTTTAACGCACGACGCTACCTGACGCTAACGGTATCGTAGTATTGTGTCTCCATGGAAGCGTCAACAAACTCGGACGCTCTCATCGTTAGAGCGTCGGAGTTTGTTAATGTTTCTATGGAAACCCAATACCACGATACCGCTAGTGTGATGCAGTGAAACAGGACCCTGAACTCTATTTAGGGTTTCCACAGGCACCGGGGTCAAGTCACATGACAAATGGCCCAGGCCTCCATACATCCCCTGAGCTCAATCTATCGTTTCCACTAGCCCGGGTCATGTCACGTGACAGATGGCCCAGCCCCTGAGCTCCATCCACCACCCTGCTCCGAGTTCCCTACTCGCTCATTATTGCCTGCATATGAGCTCCGCCTCACTGGCCTTTGTGCTGGAATGTGCACCGGCGGGAACACCATTACACTGGCCTTTGAGCAACACCGCATGATTATACACATGATTACATTTACACCCGAGGCGAGTGTACAAAGCCTGGCTACAGTGACACGATAACGGTGTTAGATTGTGCGGGCGATGTACGGTGGTGTAACAGTGATATCTACAGTGAACAGTGCCCGAACGCAGTGACGATGAGAATATTAACAGTGCAGTGGGATAAGGTTGGAAACGGTGCAGAGCGCACAGTGGACCAGGACACAGGTACACAACGATCAACAGCGCACAGTGGACCAGGACGAGCGACATACTGAACGCACAGTGGTTCACGACACAGCAGACCGAACAAACAACGGACAGTGGACCAGGATGCTTAACATCGCACAATAACGCACGTTGGTCCAGGACACGTCAACACAGACCATCCAACAACGCACAGTGGGCCAAGAAAACGTCCTATCCCGGTTATAACAGTCACGCCGGAACTATTTTTAGCACTACTCTCTCTGGAACTCCGTATTGGAGCCTCGTCTACAAACACCTAATAGCCAGTGGAATGTGTAGGAACGTCAAAGTGATAACTGTGATGGTGCATCTTTTTGGGGGGCACATAGCCCTTTATTACCGGCCCAGCAAACGGAAAAAAACGGCCAAGGATGGGTGGTCTTACAGCTAGCCTCGTTGGGACAAGATTATTATGAAGGAAATAATGTATTCAATACTTTAACTTGTCAAGAGTAGTAGTGCCTTAGTCATAGTGAAACAGTAGCATCAATACTACGGCGAGATGTCAAAACGGTCGAGGGTGTCACGTGATTATGGGGAAAATTATTATGCTGGCTAAAGGCATGCCGCAATGTCTATCTAGAGCCCGTGTTGCCATCACCATAAGCTAGCAACTAACTGACTTAGGTCAGAGTCAGTAGCGCTACACTTTCTGTATAACTATAGCGACCGCTGGAATGTTCCGTCTGTGTAACTAGCTTAGATGGTATTACAAGTGCTACAACTGATTAAATATGTGATAATGTTAGACGCTGTGCTACCTTTGACAGGTGGAAAGTGTTAGATGACACTCTTACTTATTGCTAAACTTTATAACTATTGCGGGGGGTCTCTAAACAGCAATTAGAAATACAGTGAATGGTCTAACGCACTTACGCTACTAAAACAAACTGGGACAAGACCAGACTATACCAAAATGAGACGAAATCAGCAAAGCATGGCACTGAAAAGATGGCAGGAGGCCTGATGCTATAATAAACTAGCAAGACAATCTACGCATTCATCTGCTTGATAATATCATGCGTGAAATATCAGTAGATAATAGAAAAATACCTTGTGCAAGGCACACCATTACAATAAGATAGTTCCACTGTAAAATATTAATAAAATATACAGATTAGTCATTCAATGGTGGCCCAAGCGAAATTCATGAGATATTCATCCTAAAAGCAGCATGCATGAAGCCTCTGAAAGCATGAAACTTTGTTTCAAGTCGTCTTCATTGAACAAAGCTAAACTAGTGGGGAGCATTAACACTAATATGAAAAGCGTGTCGGCTAGACCGTACCTACTATGCCCAAAGGAACTAGCTTCCTCTGTTTTTTTTTTTGTCATTTTACTCTTGCCAGCGAAGACAACACCAAAAGCGAACTAAAAAGCATTATTATGCGCAACACGAACAAGTTAAACGCATCCAAAGTTTAAAACCAATAAAGCACCTGCTATTATGTCTACAAAACTAATAGAGGAACGATAAAATCATATTCTCTCGTCGTTGAAGTGCGACTAAAAATTGTAAAACTACATTTATATCTACTACATGACATCAGTAAAGCGACATATAGAAAAGACTGGTAGTGTAAGAGAGTAGTAGTGTAAGGGATTTGGAAAACCTGTTTTCTCGGTAAAATTTTGTGCACCACTGGCTGTATATGTAGTTAGCACAGACCTAGCTAGCAGTTTATCGTCTCATGCGCCGACTCTAGCTCACTACATGTTATTGACCGACCGACTCAAACGGTTGCCATGACAACATCAGCGGCACGGTCGCGTCGGGGTGCGAGTGGAATTCTCGTGAATCCGGCTAGTCAGCGCAGAAAATACCCGTCCGGCAATGTTGGAGGTGGTGGGGAGCTGGCGAGGTTCGATCTCAGAACTGCTGCGCAATATGGGACTTTTCACTGCTAACTGTTCAGAAAAGTGCCAAAAAGAGGTGATTTTGTGTCGAACACTTCTTACTTCTACAAAGTAAAATTCATCCAAATGGTTAGACGATTGTGTGAAACCGCTGAATTACTGTCGGAGAAGAGTCAAGAAGAAGAAAAACTAAGCTAAGAATACAAAACCGATACAAATGCGTTCATGCGACAGTCACCAAAGCTAAAACTGTATAACACGCCCCTGATTGAAATTCCTCACGTGTAAATGGAACACCTCGTGCAAAAGTGTAGCAAACACGTGCAGATTTCAAACACAGCACAATTACAGCACACAGCACAGCACAGTATACCGCCAGACAACACAAACACAACACACAAACACAGCACACTATGATACACTATGTTACACCGAGAACACCGTCTAGAACACCCAGAACACAACGGAACACAGGGTACCACGGTACACATAGAACGTTTGAGCACGGGCAAACTCTTAGTCCGCTCACCATGAGTGTACGATTGGCTCATTAGCAGTTCAACGTCCATCGCCTGAGCGACTTCAACTCCGGGTGGTTTGGGTAGCGAGAAAAGCACCGTCCTCCACCTCTGGACCCAACTTAACCTCAAGATCGAAGGTCCAACTTCAACAGCTCCAACTCAACAGCCAACTCCACATCATTCCCCACCCTCCAAATCAACCTTAATCTCCAACCTCCAACACAACCTCAAGTTCAATTCTCCACCTTCCAACTCAACCCTATACACTCTAAGCTCTCCTCCATTCCAACAGCCCCTCTCTCACTCTTCCAGACCACAACGACCCCCTCCCAGCCAAACCAAAATCTCCACGTCACTAGAAATGGCTGTATCCATGTGCATGTTGCTCGCGGCTGGGCAGACCGGCCAGGCCCGGCGGGGGCGGCTCCAGACTGCGTCGTACCGCCGCCGCATAGCTGCGAGTATCGGCCGGTCGAGGAGGGGACGGGGGAGACGCGGCCCCTCGCAGATACAGAGGCAGGGAGACGCGCTGCTGGGGCTCAGCCTGGAAACAGGGGGGGGGGGGGGGTAAATATTAGACTGTGAGGTCCACATGATACGACATATGATTCATGATCTACATGATACGATGAGGGGCGGACTCGCATTGTATGCTGAAACCATCGCAGCTTGACAACAGGAGATGGGGAGGTGATAGACAGGTTGGGAAGTCCAATATGATGAGGGGGCGGAGTCGCGTACAAGTTGCCATAGTAAAATCCTGTCAACAGGAGAGGGGGAGAAGGTAAAAAAGACAGGCTGGGAGGTTCTCATAATGATAGGATGAAGGGGCGAAGTCGCGTGTAGGTTACCGCGGTCACAACCTGACAGCAGGGGATGAAGGGAGGGAAGGTAGAAAGACTGGGAAGTCCTCATAATGATACGAGGGGGCGGGTAAATATCAGCTGAGAAGTCCTCATAAAGATAAGATGAGGGGGCGGAGTTCCGTGTAGGTTGTCATGGGCACAACCTACCCAAGGGGGATGGGGGGGATGGTAGAAAGACTGGAAAGTCTCTTTACTGACGGGATGGATCGCAGAGTCACATGTCGGTTGACTCGGTCACGTTTCACGACGGTCACGTTTCACGATGAGAGAAACACAGATAAGCTAATGCGTTACTGCATGGTGACACGGCCGGGGCCGCGAGTTAAAGATAGGATGCCGCAGCAGCGTGTCATAACGACAGTAAGATTGCTGATAATCGGCTGTGGCTTCGCCTGATCACTAGGGGCAGGGGGAAGGGGGGAGGAGGGCTGAGCTGACAGCAGGCTAATGCCGATAAGCTAAGCAAAAACTGTACCAAATGGTTAACCGGATATTGATGTTTGTCATATACATATTATCTTATTAGAAACTATGTCTTAGTAAATTACATTACATATTAATGTTCCAATAAGACAATATTAAATCGTTTCGACGTTTCACCTTATGCTGAACTTTTTCTTAGCTTAGGCTAGATTCACAATAGGCAGACGGTTGCGCGCATTACGAACCGGATCTTATTCCTAAGAGCGACATCAAAGCCAATCCTTCGCGCAAATCGCTGTCATAAAAAGCAGACCAATGCTGAGTACGTACAAATGAAACGAGAAGCAGAGAACCAGCAAATCGCACTTAAGAAATTTAGCTGCATAACAATCAAAAAGAAATCCTCGCCGTTCCTGTAAGCATTTCAACCTTTTCCTCTAATTTTACTTACATACACTACAGACGGCATTGGTATATGCACGGCGTACCTTCCATAACCACTCCCACTAGGGCATAGCGTCTTGACCCTTACCTGCGCTGGAGCGGCCGGGGCCTCCCGTCGCGCGGGGCTCTGCTCAGGCGTGCCTCTTGCTCTTACGTCCGCTGGAGACGCCTCCCTTCTTGGGGGAGACGTAGTCGTCATCATCTGCGGGGGAGACCAGGAAAATCAATAACTTCTGGCTTCTTGGGTTGACAAGAGGCATGTTACAGTCAGGGAAAGCGAAAAGCTTACTGCAGTGCACTAGATTTGAACAAAAACCAACACTTAACCAATATGTCATTAAAGTTATGTATTTTTACAACTCAGTACCGAACAATTATGGAACAATGAAGTCATTCATCAATTATGCTCAAACACAGTAGGCTTCCAGCAAGTTAAAACAAAGTTACATAACGTTATTCCGGCGTCAGTCAGTAACCAAAACAAAACACCAACTTCCTTCTAGCGTATTTTCATTCCAAATAACCTGGCATTACCAGTTGGTGCATTAGACGGCCCAATTCGCCAGGCTTTACCGCTGAATACTATTATGCCGTTGAAAAACAACAGCTCAACTGCAGCCCTGAAATGCGATTAGCCGGGTAAAGCAGCTAGACAACAAGCCGGGCGCAGAGATCGATCCAAGCCTGGTCTTATCGCCTAACCTTACCCAAAGCATTGGCAGCCACTGTTGCTAAAGCGAGGCGTTATGGAAAGGCAAGGTACATACAGCGTGGGGATAATGAAGCTACCGCGTTCAAAGCCAAGCCATGCAACAGTCATGCAGAAAGAAATGCATGCAGAACATAATTAAAATATGTAAATAAAGCTGCATATTGTAGCGATGTGCTGTAAACGAGCGTCAAAAAGCCAATCTGAAAAAGAAACACGCCTGTGCACCATCAAACCTCGATGACAACTCGATGGAATAGTCCGTGGACGTCAATGAATATTAAACCTCATTAGCAACTCAGATTAAAAGAACAGATTCAAAGAACAATCTGCTGCGAGCCTTTGGCAAGAATTTGAGATGTCCACGTCTCAAAATCCATTACCGTGCCTGATCGGACGTTACAAAAACCACCAGATAAAACATAAGTAACCCGTGCACGACCCACTACAAACTTATGTATTATGTAATCTACGTCAACCTGTAAGGCATATTGCGGATCATTTCAATCAAAATGGAATCAATTTGTTTCTTTGCGATAACACAAATGGAAGATGCAAATCAAATCAGTGGCATACGATGCGAATTGCTGAAATTACGCTAACTGCTAATTATTTCATTTGACGCAGCAATTTAGAGAGCGGCAATGACCCCGAGTTCGTGCAGCATTGATTAATTATTCATAAACACAATGTACCCATTTACAGCAAAAAAAAAAAGAAGAAGAAAGAAATAGCAAGCCAGCAGATGTCAGCACTAAAACTCACCACCGGCGGTGCAAAATGTGTCATTCCACACTGGGAGGTGCGGCTAAGTGAAGCCAGCTAAAAGTCACGCTAGTTGTGTGGCAGCCAGCTTCATAAGCCGTCGGTGCAAGTTGGACATTTCCGACTGTACGCTAGCAGTGCTGGCATTTCTCTAGGCAATCAAAGCCAGTCCCGTAAGCAGATATCCAGTTTGCTTGAGGTCAAATACATCAACCAAAAAGCGAAGGTACAGATAGCGTGAAAGGTGCCAGCCAGCCACATACATAAGCTACAGAAGTGCATCCGTTTTATCATACAGACTATCCCGCACGTGATAAGCAATAGCACAATGCCTGGGCTCGTTCCAATCAGCCGGTAAGCAATAAGCGATTGTGCAGTGCCTTGGGTTGTTTCCTTCAGTCCATAAGCCGTGCGCTGCGGCAGCAATAGAGAACCAAATCCAGCTCTCTATCATACACAACCACTGACCGAAGTTGCCGACAGATGCCTCTGTGACCACATCGGATCCGGATCCGACTCTGGCGGATCCTCCAGGATCCTATCCAGCTGAGCGGCCACCGGCGGCGGCGTCTGGGCGGGGGCGGGGGCGGCGGGGAGACAGGACGGGGACATAGGGCTGGTGGCGGATCCAAACGGAGGGATAGACGCTATAGGAGACACAGGAGCTGGTAGAGACGCTGCAGCTACTGGGGTTGTAGGATAGGAAGCTGAAGTTACCGAGGAGGCTGAAGGAAAGGAACTTGAAGAGCTCGAAGGGGAGTCCACCACGGTGACTGAGTTAGCTGTTTCTGCGGGTAGGACGGTCCTGTCGGATGTCAGGTGTACAGAGGAGGAGGGGGAGGTGGCACTGGACCCTGAGACGGGCGAGGAGCGCGCTGAGACCGGAGAAGCGGGTCGCTCTTCGATCACCACACCTGAGACAAGAGACCGTTGGTTTAGACCGCTGGCTTAGACCGTCGGTTTAGACCATGGGTTCATTTAGACCATCGGCTTAAGCCAAGGTCCAACGACGCAGCTACGCAAACGGTTTGCACTCCTCAGGCCATAGTCTAACCAAGTGGCGTGCTTTGTGTGTGAAATATGTGTCATGAATATTGTAATTCTTTAATGTTCACATAATTGTTATGTAAATATATGTAAAAATATGTAAATTCGTCTCGCAAACTTTGTTATTAACACAATATTTTGGTAATATCATGCAGCTGGGCTCCCTTTAACAAGATTTATAATTTTCTATGAAAATATCTAGGCGTTCCTACAAGACTTGTAAGCCGACTCAATTCACTTAGACTTGGCAATTCCAAATTGTGTGCAGCAACAATTCATTTGCCGTCAGTTTACAGCCCAGTTGAACTTCAGTCAGTGTTACCTAATCCATTTCACGCCACTTGGTAAGATTAAGCCCAAGAGTGGAAAGAGGACGGCGGACGACTGACGCCCTAGTAAGCCACGGCGCACTGGACGGGAGAACGACGCGGTACAACACGACCGGGTGTCAATTCAACCAGCTACACCACACCATAGGCTGTCTGTTCTGAGGCAGACGGCTAGGCTAGGGAACCCACGTCTGCTGACATGCACATTGCACAAAAGGGTCTCGAACGGTGTGGCATGAGAAGTCTAGGCGCCTTTTCATGGCAAATGAGCTCATAAAATGTACGCAGCAGGACTCATTTGGCCACCACCGCTAGCACAGCACACACGCACCAGCAGACTTGGACGGTGGACAAATAGGGTCACCAGTACCAAATTTGGCACAGGCATTGCACAATCACCAACACAGCACCAGACGTGTCGCCGCCATCACCAGGCCCAGACGTCACACCAATCCGATCACCATCACCACTAGAGCGACCAAGACAAATCACCAATGACGTCATAATAAAGCATCCTGGGACAGAAATTAAGCATCCAAACTACGTACGTCATTCATAAGAACGGGCAACGATTGCGGCCACGGCACTGTAGAGCAAAGACATGAGTCAAAATGTCATCGTGCAGAAACGGTTTGGAGTTAGTGATAGACACACACGAAGAAGGGTTACCGCGTGCAATATTATGGACAGCACGCAATGTCAGGTAAACAAGTCGCACTCTTTTAGGGTAATTGAGCGAAGTCAAACATGCATTCACACCGCAGGGCCCAAAGTATTGGCTGTCAAATCATAGCAAGACAAGGTGAACACGGTGAGGGGTTGTAGTTCCAACCACAGCACAAACCTAGACTGTGACTTGAATGAACTTTATCCAAATAAAAACGACTCAAATTCGTAGAATTAGAGTTGCATCAAACGTCTTACAGTGACCTTAAACATATGCACCATAGAATTTAGCGGCACGTGTTACATATTAGTAACTGCAACATGTACGACACCCGTGTAATTAATCATAATCTGTAACTTTGACTCATGGACTACGCAAGACGAGATCCCACCCGGCCGCTCATAGAAGAGACCGCTCAGTTAACACATCCCTCGTTCGCTGTCTAAGCGAATCCCCATAGAGTATCGACCTCCCCCTTCCCAACCCTCCCCTCAATGACTTACCGCTGGCTGCCGGTCTCAGTCGGTTGATGAGCACAGAGAAGAGCTGCGCGAACACAGGTCCCCGGCGACTGGCCAGGTGGGCGGCCCACTCCTGCTGGACGCGTGTGTCCTCCAGCAGCAGCTGCAGGTTCACCTGATGGGGGGGGGGGAGGGGGTTTACTCGCGCTAGAAATTTGTCGGGACGTGCCCAGTACAGCAGTCGGAGTGTGTCAATACAATTAGGTATAGCCATTGAACACTGATGTAGCGGTTCTCGCGATAGTTTCTCCATCCTTCTAAAACGTTCTTGCTTCGTTTCTCTTGTCCCTTCCCCCTTCCGTCAAGTCCTTTGTCCCAGGCTCAACTCCCATCCCATGCCCTGGCCCCTGATCCCATTCAAATCCCTTCAATAACCTATACCATGTCCCCGTTTCAACCCGTCAATCCTGTCCCATCTCTAGTTTCCATTGACGTCACATTTTGTCCCGCTCATTCCCGATTCCTGCCCGGTCTTGTAAAGTGTAAACCCCTATCCTGACATGTAATCATCCTCATCCATCCCTCTTCTAATTCAACTCACATCCGGAGGCAGCAGCGCGATCATATCCGTTGTCGACATCAGCTCAAACAGCACCCCGTCCTCCTCAGCCACAGCCAGTGGCGGGGGCGGGCGCGTCGGCCGCCGGCCCGGCCTGTGCCCGTTGGACGAGGGGTGCATGTGGGGCACCGGAGCCGCGTATGGGAGTAGAGGAGTGCCCATCATCAGAGGTCGGCCCAGCATCAGACCGGGGCTGCGAGGGGGAGAAAAAAGGTTAGCGGTATCGGTAGTAGAAATTGTCTGACAATCACGATGATGATACACGACGTTATAATTGACAAGCAAAAATTGAAGCCAATCTGTTTAATTTTAAAACTGTTCTGTCCCACATACAAAAGGAAGCGTTAGCTCCTTACTTCTACCTCAGTAGCAGTGATATCCATGATATCTATAATATCAATAATCTGCAGCCAGGATTGTCACGTAGGCTACACATAATACCTCATGCATACCCACTACCCAGTACCCACTCACCCCTCCCTTCCCCGCCTCATCCAAACGACCCATGAGTCATGGGTTGACCGCACACACAATGTGATCTACCAACTTCCACGCTCCCTCCCCCCATTCCTCACCTCATGAAGGCCATGGGCGGCACGTAGCGCACCTGGGCCGGGTTCAGAGCCGGCATCCACGGCAGCAGCGGCCCCTGCTGGGCAAGCTGTAGCGCCGGAGCCACCACTGGCAGCGGCACCACCGGTGGGGGTACCACCGGCTGTACGGGATGCACCGCCGGCGGCTGTGGCTTTGGAGCCTGTGGAGGCGTCTGTGGCTGTGCGGGCTGTGGCTTTGGTTGCTTCTGTTGCTTTGGCTGTGGCTTTGGAGGCTGCGGGGCTGACTGTGGCTGCTGAGGCTGCACTTGCTGTACTGGCAGCGTTGGCTGCGGTAGCTGCACTGGATGCACTTGCTGCTGTACTTGCTGCTGTACTTGCTGGAACTGATGTACTTGCTGGACCTGATGTTGCACAGGTTGCAGCTGCGGCTGCGGCCGAAAGCAGGGCGCCAGCGGGTTCAGGCCGTGCAGACGGAACAGCTCGATGGCTCCTAGTTGGGAGCGTAGCTCCGCCTCTGTGGTACCGAACAGCCCGCCCTTCTTGGCCGCGAACCCGATCACCGCCTCCCAGTACCTGTAACCGGAAGGAAGAGGCGGTTAGAGACGGGAGAAGACCGTCACATACCATTATATCGACAGACATTACAGATAGATATCGACGGAAACATAGAAAATAGATATAGACAGAGACATAAACGTCACCGCCTTCCAGTACCTGCAAGAGGAAGAGGGGAATTAGAAACAAGAGAAAATAACAGTGAGAGGTAGAGATAGATATATCGCTGAAAGAGATGACAGAGACCACAGACAGAGACAAGGACACCACTGCCACCAAGCATCTGCACTGGAAATGGAGGGGACGGGCGGCGAGAGTCTGAGAGATCGGTGGCATAACCTGAGGTAACAACAACGAGAGACAGAGACATATACGTTTATGTCACTGGCCATGATAATGACTGAAAAATTATCATATCAGACGGAAAGTCATTTTTTTGTCACATACTGCAGATGAGGCGACAGACAATATTGGATACATAAGACAAGGAAAAACCAGCGACCTCACTGCTAAAGCAACGACAGAGACGACATACGAGAAAAACAGACAGGCAGATAGACACATATACAGTCAGAGCCCAGAGGCAGACAGACACAAATCAATACCACAAACCATCCAACCAAATAAACAAACGACCAGACGATCAAACAAACGAGCCCACCCACACACAGAGTACTAACCTGGAGCAGGCGCCCACAGAGCACAGCGTCTCCGGGCAGCACACGATAGACTGTACTAACCTGGAGCAGGCGCCCACAGAGCACAGCGTCTCTGGGCAGCACACAATGGCTATCAGACTGTACTAACCTGGAGCAGGCGCCCACAGAGCACAGCGTCTCCGGGCAGCACACGACGGCTATCAGACTGTACTAACCTGGAGCAGGCGCCCACAGAGCACAGCGTCTCCGGGCAGCACACGATAGACTGTACTAACCTGGAGCAGGCGCCCACAGAGCACAGCGTCTCCGGGCAGCACACGACGGCTATCAGACTGTACTAACCTGGAGCAGGCGCCCACAGAGCACAGCGTCTCCGGGCAGCACACGACGGCTATCAGACTGTACTAACCTGGAGCAGGCGCCCACAGAGCACAGCGTCTCCGGGCAGCACACGACGGCTATCAGACTGTACTAACCTGGAGCAGGCGCCCACAGAGCACAGCGTCTCCGGGCAGCACACGATGGCTATCAGACTGCGAGCCCGGGTAACAGCCGTGTTGAGCAGTTTGCAGTCCGAGAGGAAGCGGTAGTCGCCGTCCGGCTCGGAGCACGAGGTGCGGGTGCGTACAGTCGAGACGAACACGGCGCGGAACTCCTTACCTGGGGGTAAATGGGGAGGGGTAAGATGAGAGTAAGCCGCAGTGCGGAACTCCTTATATGGGGTAAAGAAGGAGTGTTCAGTTGGGGAGTGGGGACAGATAATGGCGATATTTCCTTACACGGGGTCAGGTTGGAGACAAGATGGAAAATGTATAACCTGCAGAAGGGGCAATTTAGAGATGATTGCAGAACATAAATACTTTTTTCGATGGTCTGCAGGAATCAAATAAAGACTCTCAAATGAAATGTCAAATAAAATGTCAAATGAAATGAAGAAATGAAATGTGGGGTAAAATAATTACATGGGGGAAGGGGGTCAGTTCTGACCATGACTTATTATGATGACAAAAAATAGGTTTTCATGGAAGACATGTAGGTAAGCGCCATTGGGGACAAGTAGGCACAAAAAAATATTAAATTTCACCACCTAAGCTATCCTCCACTCTACCTTGATCAGGGTGAACACGAACTCACTCGGTCCCTGCCGTCACCCTTCCGTCACGAGTTCAAATCCCACTCAGCGCAGATACTTTCCCGACACTGTGCCCCCGTCAGCGTAGGATAAACGACTGAAGTCGGATAGACGAGCGAGCAGTCGCCGTCCGCGACAGGTGAGCAAATCAATAGCGCTGCTAGCCGTCGGTGGCACCGCCTCCGCGGACGCCTGGACCGGGGGGGGGGGCAGTGGGGGGGGGGGGGCGGCCAACCGGCGTATACCACGTCAGTGTATGTAGTCGGTCGGTTAGGCACCTATAGGGTGTGGCGGTCATTGAGTTTACGCCGTCCTGCCATGGATTCAGGGAAGGAGCGGGAACACGCGGCGGAGGGCTGATGTACTTAGTGCAGCGTGTACTGAGGCGACGCAATGTGAAAGTGACAAAGCGAAGTGAAAACAGCCACAGTCGACCGGCATTCATGCGTCGTTTTTATACGGTCGTTATTGTTTTTGCTTCGATACAAATTAAATAGTCTATAATAATCGCGATTTGGAATTATAACGAGGGAAATTTGGGCAAACATAATTTAAAAAAAGTTGAAAAAAATCTTCAACAGCAGCTCACGACACTAATTTGTTAGAACACCGCAGTGCCGCGGCACGCCCAACGCCAGTCAACATGACTGCCCGACGACAACTTTGATACCAAGACATTATACAACGTCCCAGCATAATGTCCGCATTTTTTAAGTATCAGACCGCACGCATGCCGATTATCAATTAATCATTTCACGAAAAACATTGTCAGGTGGCCCCGTTTTCTTGAGAACCTTTCTCACAACTGTCTCTGGAGAGAACGGGTGTCCTTCTCAACGACATCTTTCACGAAATAGAAACAAAGCGTCTGTGTTTCCAGTTTCCACTAATCTCCGAGCGTACCAAGCTTCGGCTATATGACCTAAACTAAGCCAGTGTCCCAAAGTCTGTTGGTCGCTGAATGGCAATAAAAATAAAATGGCGGGTCGGCAGGTCATGGACGCTATTCAGAAAGGGACATCCATCACGATACCTGGAGGGGGTCGGTGGGCCAGCGGTGGCATTCAGCCGATGTAACGACCTCGCCCCTGTCCTCCATGAACTGGTAGATCGATAGGCACCCACATACACAGCGACGGACACACAGACATACACATATTAGCATACTCATAGAAGCATAGAAGCATAGAAAAATGTGCGTACACACAGGCATACCTATTTGCAAACATACCCACACATACATGGACATCACAAGATCTCTATGCATACAAGAACGCATACATACATATTACATTTACATACAAACATTTGCACACAAACAGGCACAGTTCACACACATGCTCACACAGACATACGGAAATGTACCGCACATGCATGCATTATTGCACTCTGACGCAATAAATTTGGCGTTTAAGACGGGCTTGAAGTTTGAACTGTTTTGCTGGCAGGTGACAGAGCCCGTATGTGTGTGTGTGGGGGGGGGGGAGGGGGGGAGGGGAGGCGGACAGCCGTGCTAAAAGACCGTCTCTGGTACACAATACTGATGACCAATAGGCCATCACACCTGTTGTTTGTTAATTGGGGCTTTAGGGCGCGCCGACTGCTAAGGTCATTTTGCGCCCATGGCCATCACACCTGCACTCAGTCTATGTGTGTGTATGCGTTTGTGACGAGGACTGTCATAACGCGCGGACAAGAACGTACTTACAAAGAAACCATTTATGGTGATGGAGTGGTGAGTTCTTTTATTATTTGTCCAAACGCTCGGCAAACTGAAGTGCATCTAGCAATTCGTTCACCCCAAGGACAGGTCGCCAATCGCCATAATGATATTGGGTGCAATGTTTGAGGAAAAGACGTGGATGGCAAGCGATGGTACCGAAGCTTTAGCCGCAAAACACATTGGCAACGAGATCTAAAGAGGGAAAAGCTGAGGGGAGAAAAGAAGACATTGAGCGAAGAGTCGGAAAGGCTAGTGAGCTTTGTTTGTACTCTAAGACAAAGTATTCAGAGGGAAGCACAAATAATAGCGACACTAACTTGCGTGAAATTCTGCTACCTTTCATAAATTTCGCCATCGTTCAATTTCGCCATAATCAATCATCGTTACTCATTAGTTTTCCGGTCAAGATTCAAATACAAATCGCAGGGGCATTCGCAGCTTGCATGGCTATATTTTATATTATAATTATTAGGCTGTATACACGCAGAACCTCGTGCATGCAACCTAATCACGACCCACTAATAGACCCCGGTCGATATACCGACATTGACCTTTCCGTCGCAGCCACTACTAATGTAGACTTTACATTTCAGTAATATTTTCAAAATCCTACTGAAAATAGCAAGAAACGGATATGGCCAAGCTGAAAAGAAGCGAAAGACGCAGCGAAAATATGGTTTCATTCGAGTATTATTTAATCAAGGCATGCATGTGAATTGTGAGCAGTCCTATTTTAGCTTACGCAATGAATCAAATAATATCAATTGCAAATCTATGTAAATGAATGCAATTTGGGTATGTCGAACCTCAAAAGCCTTCATTCTCCAAGAATTGTTTTGACAACCTCCCACACAATCACCCAATCACCCAGCATCACTGCATGCTTCTAATGTTTGTGATCTGTCTCACGTCACCTACCCTGCACGTTGAGTAGTCTCTCGACGGTGACCCCGGGCAGTTTTCTGTTTCGCAGCTCCCCTCGTATCTTCTGAACCTGGGGGTAGAACGGAGCGGGCAACGTCAGTCACAGGTGCTCCTAAAGCAGACGGTCCTCTAGCCCAGAGGTCTCAGTAAACTCTACCGGTTCAGTCATCTAGGTGTGCGACAAAAAAGGTAAAGCACGCGTGAGTTTCAGACCTCGAACACGTCCTAAGATGTCTAGAAAAGCCGAACATATTCACATTTATGCGTCGCAAAATCATCACCAGGAATATCCACGTTTGGTGTAAACGGTCAGCCGAAACCCGGGCGGGTGGTTTCATTATGTCAACTTTGTCAACAGTGTTTAATTTAGTGTTTCACCTGTTCGACGTAGGCCACCACCACACAGACGGACTCCCGGGTTCCCATAGGCGGACCCTTAGTTCCCCGGTTACTCTACAGTCAGATCCCTGCTCCCTGGGTCCTTACAGGCGGACCCCTGGATTTCCAGTCACCTGTTCGGCGTAGGCGGCCACCACACAGACGGAGCCCTCGTCTTCGGGTCCCCATAGACGGACCCCTGGATCTCCAGTCACCACCAGACGGACCCCTGGCCTGGATCCCTACAGACGGGATCCAGGCCTATATACCTGTTCGGCGTAGGCGGCCACCACACAGACGGAGCCCTCGTCTCGGGGTCCCCAGTCGGGGGGCCAGTCATGGCAAAGCGCCGCCACCCGGTCCGCTACCTCGTACACCTGAAAACGGGGTGAATTTACTCAGTACACCTGAAAACGGGGTTAGAGGGCTTACCTTGGTACACCCGTAAACGGGGTAACTCGTACACCAACTAGGAACGGAGTACGCTCATGACTCATATCATACAATCATACAGTCATCTACCAGGGTCACTGCCAGCGGGTAAACAATACCGTCTTTTTCGATTACGTCTACGTAAGGGTTGAACGATCTCTTCGTATCGTTATGTCAGGTTGAGGGGCGTCTCAACTCTCAACAATCCCCATTATTTGACACCAATTGCTGATATCTCCCGCCCCTTCAGTTTTAGTACCTACCGTAGCCTATTTCACCAAGCAATACCATATCTTAACCCGCGAGTTGCTGGGGGGGGGGCGTTAAACGCCCCCACTTTTTTCGCCGGGCCATAGCATAAAAACGGCGCGCCGCAGGCGCGCCAAATTTTGGGTACCTGTAGGGAATTGGTTGAAGTTTATTGTGACAAAGTTTCAAAAAATTCGGTCGGGAAATTTTTGAGATATCGAGGTTTTAGTGACGTCATGATTTCTGAGTTTTCGACCAAAAACGGCATATGTTCAAAAAATCATATAAAATCACAGAATAGACATACAGACATGCTGTAAACGCCATTAGACTGCCAATACCATGTTCAATCAAATGGATATCTTCGATTATTGATTATTGTTCCGCATTTTCCATAATCTTGAACTGAATCTTGGCAATTTTTCGTGACTACTTCACGACCATGATACATGAATTTCTTAAATTGAACTTTTTGAGCCAAACACGTACACATATGATAAAATAAATGTCACCATCGTGTTCTACGCCCCAAATTACCTATAAAACATGTGTCACAGGCTGCGAATATCAGTTTTGATTTTCGGGGATATGTGCCTACCCGGTTGACCTGACCTTGACCCTGACCTATGCTTGACTGACCCCTACATGGAGCTGACACTCTTGTAGGCCTTATAAGATGGATTGTGCACCGTTTTGACAGAGTTTATGGCGAGAGGCGCCCATTGCGAAGTCCTGAAGTCCATGCTACTGAAAGCCCGATTTCAGGTGTTTGACCTGACCTTGACCCGACCTGTGACCTCAAAATTCAACTTTAAAGTACTCATCTGAAGCGTCTCGTCGCGTTCTTTCGTTTGCCGCCTCGTGCGTTTCGCTGCGCCTATTGGTTCTCGAGTTATCGGCTGGGGGCGTTTAACGCCCCCCCCCAGCAAACGGTGGGTGGCGAAATACCCCAGCAACTGCCGGGTTAACTGAACATACCCTTCCCTTTCTCGACCATATTCTCTCAATATAATACACCCTTCTTATCTCATCATACCCTAATATCCTTTCACGGCCATATCCTATGTCATTAAACCCCACAACCTATATCATACCCCATCATATACCGTCATCGTGGTAACATCCCGTCTATTACAAATACCTCTTCGTTGAAGCCGTAACTTAACTCCGCACAGGCCTGACACGTCGAGCCTAGACCACTTCTATCTCCTCGTCGTCATATAAGCCGTTCATCCGGCTGGTTTGTCGTACTTCGCTCCATTACACAATACACATACCTCCTCGTCGTTACAGAAGCCGTTATCCCCGCTAGTTTGTCGTACTGAGCCCCAATGCACATACCTCTTCGTCGTTACCGCAGCCAGTATCATCACTGGCCTGTCGTACTGAGCTCCACTACACTGGACATTGGACAATACACATACCTCTTTGTCGTTACAACTTACAGTAGCCGGTAAAAACTGCACACAGTACACCAGCTGCTACCTCCTCGTCGTTACAGTATCCACTGGCTTATTGTACTGAGCCCTTAGGAAACATAACCTCCTCGGCCCGATTTCACCAAGTGAATATATTCTTGGTGTACTTTGGAAAAGTACACCGATAAAGTACGACAATAATACTATTCGGTTTCGCCACAGGAATATATTCAATACGCCCGCTTTACGTACTTTGAGAGCCACCGGCGCGCATGCATATATCTTTTCTTGTCGGGGACATGCAGTCACTATATTTTTCCGTATTTAAAGTCGACGAGCTTAAAGGGACCCTCCCACCTTCAAAAAAGTTAATGAATTGGCATAAAAGTGATGTAGCGTGAATCACAAAGAGCGAAAATGAACATCTACCAAATTTTACCGGAAAATATTCACCCGTTTTCGAGATATAAGACTTTTATTTTTGTTTACTTTTTGGGAAATCCGCTGTTTCTATGACGTCACATAAAGGTTTTCTTTACGTCGGCATTTGGAAGCAATAGTTTGGTATCAAAGTGCGACAAATATTGCGCGAATGATGCGTTTATCTTATCAAGGTCAATATATGATGGCCAATAAAGGATTCCAGGACAATTCTTATGGCATTTCTTCGTATCGCAATTCTTCGTCTGCAAATCTTCGTCAGGGCATTTATTCGTACCTATCGCATTACTTTGTCTCGCACCAGGGTATATGAAAATCGGCTCGCATTTCTTCTTCAACGCAAATATATGCAAGAGTAAGCATTGAGGGACAAATAAATGCACCGACGAAGATTTGTAGACGAAGAAATGCGGACGAAAAATTGTGCTACGAAGAAATGTCATGCGAGGATTCGTTCGGGTACCATGACATTTATGTGATTTCAAAGTCAAGGTTCACAGCTGATCTGCTAAATCAAGCCAAGAATCCAAACTATCAAAAAACTATAAATATTTGTCTGTCACAGAGGTCTCAAGCAATATAAGGTTGACATATGTTGAATCAAAAATCTACTGTCACAACTCACATCTCCTGCCTTAGTTTATCATTGTTGTTTTAACTTGCTTTCAAGAGAAACAGAAGCCAGTATCTGATATCACTTCAGATGATTGTTTCAAGATCTGAGTTCAAATGGAAATAAAAGCAAGATCAAGATGAAACAGGGATTATTGCTGTTAAAGTATTTTGGCCATGATACAACAAGCACATAAATCATTAGCCAAATCAAATACTGGTTGGTTTGTCAAGATGTTTGTTGTCTGTCGTCTGTCGAGCTGCTATGAACACTGAAAGAGTGAGCTGCCCTCACTCTTACTTTAAAGAGAGTAGTTTAAGTTGAATGGTAGTGAGCTGTAATTAGACAAAGCAGCTATTCAGTGCTCACATCAAGCCAGGCTAGGAAATGGCATCAACTGTGGTGGGAGGAAGCAGGTTCGGCAGCCCTATGTTGTAAACTTCTGTTATGTCTTGTGTTTGATCAACTGATGTTTTCTGCTCTGTTTTGTGCAGTGATAGTAGCAGGTAACTGCATGCTTGTCAAATTATGTGAATAAACGAATTCATAACATTGCATTTTTCTCTCCATGCAAGGAACAAGTAAGATGTTGTAGAAAATGTAATAGAGGGCTGCATTGCTGATTTTGCACTTTATCAGAGCTTTATTTAGAATTGCTTTCCTGAAAGCTACACACAGGCCCCAGTGCTGAAATTCACAATGTCATAGCTTTTGGCAGAAAAAAGAAAAGACTTACCGAGGTTAAATTGGCTGAAAGTATGGCAGAGCAGGTCTTGATGCGTATGCCCATCCGTGTGCTTGCCGAAGCCGAACTGACTGCAACACATTTAACTCTGACCCACCATGGTGGCTGGCATATCCAGAACTTTCACCACTCTAAACAAGACAACTTTCAGCCCTCAGCATTGTATTAAAACACTGTACAAAACACTCAAAATTTGTTTCAGTGCCATCCACGGACAACATCAGTCGCCATTCACCAGGCCAGTAAAAACAGAATAGATAATAGCTTCAAACCCATGTAGTCAGAGTTACTAGGTCTGCACCTCAAAACAAAATCCAGGTGACATTCACCACGCCAGTAAAAAACAGGTACTTAGGTAACGTAACAGCTTCAAATCTGGTAACATGTTGGTCGGACTTTACACTACCATATTTACATGGAATAATATGATACCAAACAATAGTGCAACCATTCTGGACAACAAAAGTGTATGATAAAATTAATTTAGAATACTCTGGCAGCATGATTTACGAGCACAGGCAGGTGTTACCTACCAGCCTTCTCAATGCTCGTAAAACCAACATTGTAGTTTTGATTTTACCTTACATGATAACACACTTGGCTGCAATGGCACATTTAATTTAATACTGTGAAAAGACCAGTTATAACCACTTCACAAGCACAATTGCACCTCATGCCGACATCCTTTTCCAAAGACAGTCAGCAGCGTCTTTCGTCAAAACTGGAAGATAAATCCCCTTTCAACTGTTAACATCAAAAATATTTCTTCATGGTGTGACTTTGATCTCCATATGGAAACCTTGCAGGAAAAGAATTAATGTCAATTGTCAGCTCTTCAAATTTCTTTGGACTTTAACTTGCAGTACCATATCCAGTTTGCTTTGATATTTTGTTTTTTATTCCATGTTGAAGTTGAACACCAAGCTCCAGATATAGCAGGCAGCTTGATCATCTTCGGCCTTGGTATAATATCAGTCCAAGTTCCAGTGGTGGGTATCTTCTAATATTCAAATTAAAATGAAAAGCAACATGCTTTCTCAGCGCCGACGACGGATTTCACGTTGATAAACAAGGGAGCTCAAGGTCAGCAAAACTCGGGTTCAAGGAATGGCGGGCGTTGAAATGACTGCTGACGTCATCAAAAAACCGCTAATGGTTAAGAGATAGGGACTAAGCTGGTCCCACCCTGCAAGTAAAGGGAAGAAATTTCTTGAACACCATAAAGCTGCGGGGGTTGCGACCAGGATAAATGGTGGTTTCTGAGCCTGGCCGCAAACTTGGCTATCTCAACTCAAAACTAATGTTAAGGTGGGATGGTCCCTTTAAATGCTCAGATATACAATATTATGGAAAAAATTTCTAGCTACACTAATAAGAATTAAATTTGCTGATCATACAAGAGGAAGTACCTAAACAAATATTGCTAATAATGCTCTTGATTTTTGCTGGGAGCATGACATTCCAAAGCCAAAAATGTAAACAATCGGCAGCAAGCCGCGCAGCACAGTTGACGTTACTGGCGTGTGTGGGTTTTATTGGATTTTGAATTGATATTAATTTTTTTCTTCCAAGTTACTTCTCATTAGATATTGCTTCAATATTTGTTCACATCTTCTACGCAATTCTGGAGTGGTTCAAAGCAAATATAAATAAAGTCGAACAAGAAATGGCATTACTTGAGGCACCTATCTTATATCTAACTACCGATTCCTGACGATAGCAAGGAGCACGGCCGACCAGCCGACAAGTTATCTGAAATATTACTTGAATCAAGTTTTTAAATAATCGAAGGGTCTACCGACGACTTCAAATATGGAGAATATTTCGGAATCATTCGGCAGACTGAACCTGAACGGAAGCGGGAAGCCGGTGATAAATTGAATCATTTGGCCACAACACAACATTATGGACATTGGACAGCATATGGGTACTGCAAAGAAATAGCAAAAGTGGGCGATGAAAACGAATGTAAACGAATGCGTTGTGACTTGTGATGCAACATGCTGGGCATGTCAATCAAGGCGTTGCTGGACTGGACTTCAGTCCTTCCTCTCGCCCTCGCCAGTTGTTTACTTCCTCTTCGGTAAAACGCTGTATAAAGAGCACGGTGTAATTATCACGGTGAGAAAGATTTGAAACGCTTTTGGCCTTTTGTGTTATCAAAATACAATGTGAACTGTCCTTTTTTAAGTGGAAAACTCAATGTAATCGGGAAATGGAATGCGAATGAAAAAAGGAATTCCCTGTTGTGTTTCTGCATGATGGGGTGATTTTAATCGCAGTGATGCCACGATGAGATAAGCCTTATAAAAATAGCTGTTCTGGGGTTTAATTTCAATATAAGCCCTGACACACGATACCCTATATATCCAGCAAGAAATAACCATTATGACATCAAAAACTTTTTGCGTAGCCTGTGGCATGTTTTTATCATACGTTGCATCGACGAAGTCATTAAATTTGTAACATTGTCATTAAAAAAATTGATGTATGCCAAGTTGTTTCTCAAAGAATGCCACAAAAAGTAGCATACTTTCAATGCCAGCAAACTCGGCAAACAGCTGTTGAAAAAGCAGATCGGCGTACCAGAGGTACCTCAAATGTAATAGTATGCCAAAAAACGACGGACTTATGCAGTCATACTTTGTCTTTGTCTTGAATAAGTATCCCTGTACGGAGTTTGGTGAAACTGAATATGTCATAATATGCCAAAAGTGAATATGTACGCCGCCGTAATGGAATATATTCACTTGGTGAAATCGGGCCCTCGTCGTCACAGTAGCCGGTAAAATTATCGCCGGTTCACATAATCGCTTTTCACAAACGTCAAACTGTCATACCACAGCCGGTAAAAGCAGCTGCACACAGTACACCTACCTCCTCGTCGTTACAATAGCCGGTGTCTCCGCTGGTCTGGCGGGCGGTGCCTCGTGCGCTGAACACCGACACGGGCGGCCATTCGGGGTGGCGGCCCGGATGGGCGCGGCTCTTCAGACGACGGCCGTAGAACAGCTCCGAGGTCATCTGTGCGGAGGGGGGAGAGGCCAGTTAGGCTTTAACAGGGGTCAGATGAGGTCTGCGTGGCGGGGAAGGGGTTAATGACAGTGGTCACAGTTCAATTTGGTGGGCGGGTTAGATGGATATCAGGAGGGGGGGGGGGGGGGGTCGATTGGTTGGTTGTTTGGTTAGGGGCTGAAGGGAAAGTTGGCTTATGTTGAAATAAACAATATGCGAATAGACTGCATTCTCTTCGCTATATTCGTGGATTTTTTTCTTTTTTAGGGATAAACATGATTTAGAGAAACCTACCAGCAAGCTCTTGTTTTGGCACACGTCCTTACACCTATACGATCTATTGGACCACGTACAATATTTATCCATGATCATTACGAACTTCGTACTCGGCACGTAAAAGCATAGAGGTTACTGAACTACCCCATGATCGCTCGCCTTCTCACCAATCGTTAAAGGTAGTGTGCCACCTTTGAAAGATTTCCCATTTTATTTTTCCTAGGATAAGAAGCTTCTGTTTTTACCTAATATCGCAAAAAAATCAAAAATGGGCCTGGAATAGTGCCTTTTTCGCCTAAAAGTTTTTCGGTTTTTAGATATGTATAACAACTGTAGTGGGCTCACCTGCAAACAGGCGTCGGGCAACAATCGCGAATGCGGCGCACTTGTGACAATAAGCAAAGGTCATTATAGTGTTACGACCATACGACGTACGGGAATGAGTTATCAGCTGTCTAATCGTAGACAACACAATGTCGAGCCTTAAACTGTAAGCCCGTATTGGTATTGTTTCTTTTATTTGGCTGTCGAACATTATTTATGGTTTGAAATATGATTTTATGTAAAATAATTGATATGAAAAAGCCGTCTTATAAGTCATGACCCCATTTCACCACACGCAAGTGGCAGAAATGACAATGATCAGCTGACGCATTTTTCTTGGCCGAAGTCAGAGCGCGCGGCCCGACGCACCACGCGTATTTGGAAATTCCGACCTCGACGAGCATCAGAAGCCACCTAACAGGCGTGTTCGAAACCGCAGGAGATGATGATGAACGGGTTTATCGAAACTTGATTGGATGAGCATATCGGTAATAGCGATTTCAGTGTGTGCATTTATTGTTCATAGTGGTGTGAAATGTGGTTGGGGTACGACCGACAACCCGTCGGGGCGAATTTCGCACTGGGGTACTCAAAATTTGAAGAATTTAAGACGTTTCCATGAGTTTTGAAGGTATGGATAAGTTCTAAAAATCCGGTTCTCCTTATCTGGGCCATTAACTCCATACGGTCCAAGAAAGCTGGCACACTACCTTTAAGTAAATTAACGCAGATCCTCGTTATCAAAAGCCTTTTTCCAACATAACCGGTCCCCTTTATTCCCCCTTACCTTCACGATGTCGGAGTGCGAACGGTAGTTCTCATGCAGTGTGATGGCACAGGGGAAGTCGGAGCCGTAACGTTCCTGAAGACGCTCCAGAAGGGACCGCTCAAACCGCCGCTCCCGACACACTTCAGAGTAGACGTCCGGTGACAGCTGATGATGGACATAATGGCGTCATTGGGGGTACCACCGCTCACGACACACTTCAGAGTAGACGTCCGGAGACAGCTGATGATGGAATAATGACGTCATTGGGGGTAACGCCTCTCCCGACGTACTTCAGGGTAGACGTCCAGAGACAGCTGAATGCTGATGATGGGCATGGTTACGCCAGTCGTCAGAGTAGAATACGTCCGGCGCCAACTTACCGTTGGAATAATGATGTCAGGGCGCCAGGGGATAAGTGAGATAGCAATGTCCGTTAAGGACAGCGAGCAAAGCGAAGAAGGACACAAGCTCACGTACTAATTGGTTAGCCCATTATGTCCCGATGTGACCCAATATGACGCAGAAACACATCAATAGCGTCGAAATACGAGCCCAAGACCCAGGAAGCCGAGGAAGGCGTGAGTCATTGTTATTCAAATACACTTAGAGTAAAAAAGACCCACGGCTCAACATCCCAACCTCCATTTTCCCCTCCATCACTGACCTGCAGGTGGTCCCCAGCCAGGACCAGCCTGGTCTGTGGTCCAGCCAGGGAGAGGACCCGGGCCGCCTCCCACTCCAGAGCCTGAGCAGCCTCGTCCACCAGAATGTGGCTGAAGGTGTCCTCAGGCAGGTCCAGCCACGTTAGGTACCTGAGAGTGGGGAGAGACGGTTAGCGGAGTGGCCAACAACAGAGAGAGATGGTTAGATTAGATAAGGATCGCCAGGGCTAATTCGCATTTTTAATGTTCACGACATGAATGAATAAATGAATGATCGACTCACGTCACGGCTGAATAGTGTCTAGTCCAATTAATGGGAGGCAGAGTCTGATCATCCCGCGTCGAATTTGAGTAAAACGCCTTTTTGGGCGAAGAACGAGCGAGCGAGATAGTGAGCCCTGCACGTGCGGAAGGGCGAGAGGGTACTTCCAACGGGCTTGTGCAAAGCACCCTTTTAACCGGTCGCTAGCGGTGTGCCAAATTTGAACGCAATCGGCCCAGCCGTTCCTGAGATCTGGAAGCGGTATTCTGCACGTGCGCACGTGCATACGGGGTCCAAACTGACTTTTGCACGGCACCCTACTAACTAGTCCCCAACCGTGTACCAAATTTGAGCGCAATCGGCCCAGCCGTTCTCGAGATCTGGGAGCGCCCCCTGCACGTGCGCACGTGCAGTAGCACCCTAACCGCAACACATGGGAATGCATTGCCTGATGGGTGCCTACCTGTATGCCAAGTTTCAGCGAAATCGCCCCAGTAATTACAGTGTTATTGAAATGGGAACAAATTTGGCATCTCTTCTTTTTGCATTTTGCACGTGCAGTGGGGGTCACTAACGTAGATCAAGAGTATCCGACCTTTGGTAGAAGGGATGCAGCTACCCTACAAAAATTACCGCAAGACAATCGCCCAAGCGGCTGCTGAGATATGGGCCTCTCAAAATCATTACTTTTTCAAAACAGCTTGGACACCTTTGACTTTTCACGTGGCACGTGCCACGACGGTCACTGAGATGTATCAAAAGTAGTCAGTTACGGGGTAGAAGGGATGGGGCTACCCAGCAAAAAAGACCGCAGGCCTTATCGGTCCAGCGGTTGCTGAGATATAAGCCTCTCAAAAGCGTTACAGGCCGGGCCGGGCCGCTCATATTGAGATTTTTCTGTTATATCGAAAAGACTCGCTTCGCTCGCTGCGCTCGCTCGTAATTACATACTTAGCAGGGTAGAGCGTCGTTTAACGCTCCGGTGTAAATCAGCCCCAGGCGTGTTTGCCCGTGTGTCGGGAGGGCCGATGTGGATTGCGGATGGTGGAGGCAGCTACGCTGTTCTCCGCTGAAGTTGAGATCGAGAGGGCAGACAACGACACGGTGCCGGAGCTACTGACGCCGTGTCATGACGTGGTGTCGCAGTGTCACTTACTTAGACACGGCCAGCGTACAGACGATGACCCGGTGTCCTGCAGTGGATGATAGTTTAAGATGTACAGATAACAGACGTTTTCCACTTACTTTGATACGGCCAGTGTACAGACGATGACCCGGTGTCCTGCAGTGGGCGTTAGTTTGAGATGGACAGAGAACAGACGTTTTCCACTTACTTTGAGACGGCCAGCGTGCAGACGATGACCCGGTGTCGCAGTATGTCCTCAGTGGTGGGATGACGGAACACCACGTCGTCGTCAGCGTCAGAGTCCTCCCGCAGCGTGAACTGGGGAACAGAGAGACGACGTCAATGGGGATTACACAAAACATAAATGGACAAGGTGTGAGTATTTGTGGACTGATGATTACCTCAGCCTGCAAGCTGAGAAGCAGAGAATGTGTGAAACTAAGAAAGAGTAATGATGTGAAAACTGAAATGGGAGAGAAGAGACGGTGTGCAAATATGGTGAAAAGAGATCGGACTGAGGAACAGAGAGACGGCGTAAACGGAACACAGGAGAAGACTGGAATAGATAATGTAAGTGCTAAAGCGTCTCCCTAGTCATTTAACGGTACGGACCTGGCCGTCGACAACATTTTAAGAAATATAACGTGCAATTAACCACTAATTTAAATAGCAAGATGAATACCACGGTGGCTATAAATAATGAATACAACAAAAAATGGACACAAGTGACAGCTGCTAACCGCACAAAGTACGCCCATTACATCAAGTTCGTACACACATAAAGAAAGCGTTAACGTTTTTAACTGACCGGTCGGACGGTGTAGTGCACTGTTCCCAGCCTCCTGCGTCGGTAGTAGACCCGCAGCGGACGGGCCGACTCCATGCCGCCCTTCACGTACCCGGCCAGATACTCTCGGATGTAGAGATCGGCAGCGCTAGAGAAAGGGGGGGGGGGGGGTCAGAGAGGGCGACGGACTGGGGCCGAATAATAACGAAGATATGTAGATCATCGAAACGAGAGGAAAAAATAGAACGTGAGAATAAGTGATGCGAACGGCATCCGAGCATCCGACATTAATTTTACAGCCATGTGACAGAGAAAGGTTACAATATGGCTATATGACGATGTTAACAAAATATGGACAATAAATTGTGTCTGAAAAATTTATGTCGTTTTCGTCCTTCATTAGGAAATGAAACACAAACGTGGTTACCTACCCATGACCAGGATGGGGGATTAAACTAACCTCAGACACCTTTTGATTAGGCTCTGACCAGCACCTTATTACGTTATTCATCCGCAACAACACGCCCTTCGGGAACCATCCATGCATTTGAGTTTCTCAGAGGCTGACATCACTCGATGAGCGTAGTCTTTACCTGTTGCTGTGGGTGCAGATGAGGATCCTCGAGTCCTCGCTCCCGTTCAGAATGTGTTTGACGCCGTGCGCCATGGTGTAGGTCTTACCCGTGCCGTACGGACCTGTGAGGGAACGAAAATCAGGGATGTCAGATTTCAGTCGATTCAAGGAATTACGCATCACAGCGACGAAGTTAGATGAATAGAATTAACGGATAGAAAGACACACTATCCCAAAATTGAGAGCAAACTCCGCACCAAGGCAGCAAAAGTGCTGTCGCTTTATAATGCACTAATCGCACACACGCAAGTAGTCACAACTCAACACAAGCAAACAAATGACAGACACAGAAGACACACAACGAACAAACACGCTGCACATGACACACGAATATAATACAAAGAAGGAAATAGCATAGCTGCATGTAATCCAAAGGTTCGACTTGCTAATTCAGGCGGCACCCCTAGGGCGTACCGAGAACAAAGGTAACACATCAACATCTTACATAAAAGAAACCTAACATAGCACCCCAAATAATCGACAGACCGGCCCTAGGACGTACCGAGTACGAGCACGGGCGGCAGCGGCTGCGGCACTGTGACCGTCATGGCGTTGATGGCCTCCTTCTGACGCGGGTTCAGTTTCTCGTCTTCGGGGCGCCAGTGACTGTCGGCGTAACGGGTTAGGTAAATATCAGACGGGGTGAGAGGGCGGCACTATGGTCACAGGGGCAGACAAGGTCATGCAAGGGGTCACAGAGTGTCAGACAGGGTGATGTAGGGGTCAGAAAAGGGGGTTAGGTATGTAGATGACTGAGTTCTGACAGGGCGCCGGATGCCGAGCCATTAAGACAAAAAGGGTCATATAATAAAAGGTTAAACAAGTCACACCCACCTACAATCTGACAAAAAAAAAACTAATGAAAATCTTTAATTTAGGCTTGTTAATGCATAAAACGGCCAGCAGACTCGCGAAAACAGCCCTACCGCGTCAGATCATACGAAAACAAACACCTCTCACTAACCAGCACTGAATGCCTCCAGTGTCCGCGCTTACCTGGCCGGGTTCCACGGTATGGTCGGCCTCTGAGCGGTATCAGGGAACAGCAGGTGGGGCGCCTTCTCGGCCGCCATTCGACACCCCTCTTGCATGTCACACGACCACTGGCGACTGGGCAGGAACCGCACGGCGGCCCGCAGCATGGCGTCGTCATCGTCATTCAGGGAAAGGTCTGTGGGCGAGAAGAAACGGGGCTTGAGCGCGAGTGAGAATAAACAGTAGATAAAACGTGATCCGCACGCTGAAAAATGGTGTTCATGCTGCGAGCTCGAATAAAAAAAGAGCACGGACACTGGGCAGCACTCATGATAAAACACATTCCTTAGAACAGACGGCACATAGTTCAAAGTCTCAGCGGGACAGATAAGGGACCGTTGATAAAGGGGTAGATTATCTAGGCACAACCAACTGCGCCCTCCCCTCTCCCACCCCGCCCATCAAAGACCAGCCAACTGAAGCAGCTTCCTTGCTCGATTACCCCCCCTCCCCCCCACACACACACAGACTAAGGTATTAATATGAGCGCAACAATCTACGGTAGGGGGTCATTTGCACCTCGCTTAGGCCGGCCACGGGTCTGTACTGACCTGAGACCATCTGGCTCGGCAGCCGAAAGTAGATGTCATTCTTAGCTTTGGCAGCGATCAGAACTTCGTACACCTTCCGCTTTGTGGGCTCAATCGGGTTCTGGGGCGACGGGCGAAAAGGCGTCAACAGTTATTTCAATGGAGCGCATAGTATGGTGCACTACTCAATAATCCCATAAGCTGTTTATATCACATACAACAAATTGTTCAGTAAAACTAAGCAAACGTAGACCTCAGTATGCAGACAAGGTCTATGATCGAACTTATATGTATCATAGGAAAAGTATCCTGACGAATGTAATGCGTTTCCACCTAGCCACAAAACTAATAACATAAAACTAAGAACATACCTCCGCGGAGTCCAATAGACAATGTACCGCCAAAGCAATGAGTATTGGACAGTGGGGCTACGATTATCCCATGACACTTCTATCAATTTTTGTCAAGTTAATCATCTCCGCAATCAGCTAACGTAATTCTCACTAGGGTAACAGTGTCTCGTGTCCCACCTTGGTCACCGGCGCCAGCAGCGCTCGCTCGCAGTTGTCCAGAATCAGTCGTCCGGCGGCCGTGTCTGCTGACAGCTCCTGCTCCGTGTGCAGACGGGCGAACAGCTCACCAGTGCGGACGTGGTGGATGCTGGCGGATGGAACCGAGCGGTCAGGACACTTTGCGGCGGAGTTATGGGGTTTAAAATAACAGGACGCCAGTCAGGACACTTAGCGGCGGCGTTACAGGGTGAAAGTACAATAAGCAGGACATCGATGTCCGCAAGGTAAAACTATCACACGATCGAGTCAAAACATTTGCCAGCTCACTGCCGCATGCTTGTCAGAAGGGTTGGTAAGGTAAAGTGCACTACAAAATAACAAAACGCACATAAACAAAACAACAGTGAGGCAATAACGCCTGGTGGCTGGGCAAAAAAAAAAAAAAAAAAAATGCAGGCCACAATCACAAAATATGGGTATAAGGTGTACTACCTAGGCAAATTAGGCATACGATCTAACTAAGCTCAAGAAATATTCTTCCCAAATCTACCATCAACTAACTCACTAGACACTCCACCCCGATACGACCCATATAACTCTGCCGTGCAAAGGCAAAAGACATTATGTCGGGTCAGAGGCCATTACCTCAGGTCAGAGGTCACCCGAACATAATGGGTTTTGCCTTTATACGGCAGAACTACACTCGCATCATAAAATATAATACGACTCACAATTGTAATACACTCACTCAATTCCTTTCAAATCCTACCACCACTCAAGTTACCAAAAGACTCAACCTCTTTCTCTCTACCGCTCCCAAATATCTCCCCGGTTACTCACGTGGTCTCTGGCGGCACCACAAAATGTCCCATCAGCCGTAGCTGTCCGGTCACATTGAACGTATGCAGCAGCTGAGTCCGCGCTGCCTCCTCCAGTTTCAGCAGTATTCCGCTCCATTCCGCGTAGTTTTCCGCACTGAGCGGACTCCGGTCCGCCGGCGGAGCCAGGTCGGCGGAGGGCGCAGGGTAGGCCTCCTGCGCGTTCTTGTCCTGCTCATCCGGCGGACTGGGGTCCGGAGAGAACGGGATCACCTATGGGACGGAAAACGAATGAAGCTGACCGTTTATTATTAGGATTTACGGGCGAGTCGACTGCGGTGGTCATTTTGCGTGATGAAGCTGACCGTATCTCCCGAGAGGTTTAGATTCATGAGCACGCCAGCAGAATCATAAATTTTAGGAGAGAACTTAATATAACTAAAAAAAAAAAACACGCAATCACAATAGAAATCCCTTCTCCAGAACAACTAAAGCAACATCCAAAAACGATAAACCTCAAATAGCTAGTAAATACAGAACGACTTGAAATAAAACCGATTCGGAAGAAAATATTATTCAAAACGAAGTGCGCTTCCACTACACATAGGACAACTAACTACTTCTTTCTCGAGTCCATAATGCGCATTCTTGCTTTTGAAAGACGCCTATAGGAACCAAGTAGCTACTAAGTCCTCCGCGTCCTGTTCGGTCCAACTTTCTCACCTCGGCGTCCTCCTCAGTCCAGCCGTGCTCGGAGATGGTCAGTTTCCCCCGCAGTTCCTCCACCAGTGTATCCACCGGCAGGGGAGCCACATTGGCCTGCAGCCAGCAGAGCAGGGGCGCGTGGTGCGGGAACACCAAGGCCAGTCGCTGGCGGTAGGAGCCGTACACGTCCGCGGAGAACGACACCGTCATCTCGAAACACACCTGTGAGAGACAGTGAACGCATATCAGCACCCTTATCAACTCGAAACGTACCCGTGGGAGACAGAACGCACATCAGAACACATATGGCAGCTCACAAATTGACTAGACGTCACCTCGAAACGTATGTACCTGAGACAAGACAAATATCGAAAAAACGCTTTACCTCGACCGTCACTCAAAACGGTTCACTTGTTACACCACGGCGGTCCGTTCTGTACTGGTTTATTGAACCGCGGCCTCGGCTCAGGCCGTGCGCCGCGGGCCGAGTCAGGGGCGGCGCCAGGTACAGCGGCACGTGAGCCACTGGCGCAGCCAGGGGTGGGGCAATCTACTACATCACTCCTGACGGAAACATGAGATCCCATTCACCTATTACATAGATTTATCGAAACTCGATCCGTTTACACTAACCTTCGCCCTGGTGGGGGGGGGGGCCATTTTGGCCCCCCCCCTGTGGTTTTTCAGCGATAACTCAGAAACCACTTGAGTTAGCGCCCTGAAACTTTGTATAGCTGTTTATTCAACATTTTTACATCATGTCCTTTTTTGGAGGGTTCGGGTCAGGTCAGGTCAGGTCACAAGGTCACCAAAACTGACACCACCTCTAAAAAAGTTCAAAGCTCTCTCAAAGGCACAGCTTTTATCCGATCGATGTAAAATTTACAGTACTTGAAGATGTCACTCAGCTCTACAAAATGGCTATCTCGGATTTTTTATAAATGTGACCTAAGGTCAGGTCAGGTCATCGCTGCTCCCCATTATAAGTCAATGGGAGAATCGAAAAGTAGTTGTTTTTCAGCTAAATCGGGCGTGATTGTTCCTATATTTCGTTATTGAAGTGTCTTGGGTCAGCAAATCACAGCCCATGTGAAACCATTTGCTTGTGACCTCGCTGAGGTCACGCTAGGTCATCTCCCTGGTCACCAGAGGTCACCAGCGGTTTTTCTGCACTTACTTGTTATTGAATAGAGATAGAGACTCCGTTCGACGTTTATCGTGTTTGTCTCGTCAATGCGGATCGAATGATATGCAGCATGACCTATTTCGGTAAGGTCATGACCTTGACCTGAGGTCAAATTTTCAAAATGACCTTTCGAGGTCAAACTATATATCATTCGACGCGTCTCGACGAGCCAAGCACGATGGTGCATGAATCGTTTCTCTATTTTCTCGTGAATGCATGCTATAGTTAAAAACATTTTCAACGAAATTTGCCAAGTTGACCTTGCATGACCTCTGTAGGCTAAACCGTTGAGCTGAGGTCAAATCTGACGAACCTTGGCGAAAGAGCTTGAAAAGAGCTATCGATTGCTTTTTTCCGCGGCTCTCTAGCTCTTCTAGTTTCCGAGCTACAGCGGAATATGTCCGGCAACACCGAAAACACTGAAATTTGACCTATGATGACCTCTAGCGACCTCAATATTGACCTTAGCGAAAAAATGACCGAAATACTTTCGAACGTACTTGTTATGGGCTTTCGTTTGCTTTTTTCCGCGTCTTCCTAGCCCTCTTCGTTTTCGAGTTAGACGGGGGGGGTCATTTTGGCCCCCCCCCCACCAGGGCGAAGGTGGCTCAGACCCACACCAGGGCGCGGGCTAACATGTTTATATAACAAAAGAAAGAACATTCTGAATCATAGTTCACCCTCCCTCCCCTGCCATTCTTACCGGCGCTCCGGTGCGCGTGGAGCGTTCCACCAGCTCCTTATCTTGGCACGTCCACTCCCTCGCATCCACTTTAATCGGTTCAGGCAGCAGCGCCGGGCATCGCAGCTCCCCCAGCCGAAACAGCGGGCGGGTGCCGGTATCCAGGAGCCCCATACCCTCCGGTAGGGAGCCAGCTGTGACCGCCACACGCCACTCGACTCGCTCGTCTTTGCGTGCGGTCATAGAGCCGGCAGGCGGAGATACGGCGAGGTGGGCACACTCGGGGAGCACGGCGCCGGCACGCCAATCCGACTCCACGCGTGCCTGGGGACAGTGGAATATGGTGGAGGGGTCAGTGGGAAACTTAGAGATACCTCACACATGGGGAGACACTCGCGCAGACAGAAAACCTCAGATTGAGAGACTCAGCAGGTGGAGTATAAAGGCACGGTGGGGTGCGAAAATGCTCTGGACTTTGCAAGCACGTCACAGTCTGCTATGATAACAACTGACAAATCCTTATCAATGAAACTATTGGATATCAGCATTTACGTATGAAAGAGCATTATAAGCACCTAAAAAAAAAACACACACACACACACACACACAAACATATATAGCTTAGTAATCAACATCCGCATTATGAATTTGCGACATACCTACACCTTACTTAGAACATCAAAATTCAGAACCATCCTTAGTCCATCTTATTCTCCAGCGCCCATGCCCACTTTACTGTGAAGACGATAGGATAGTCTACCTGGGTAAGAACGCAGCAGCGCTATATCCGTGTGTCGACTCTGGTTTCGTCTCACCTGTATAGCGCCCCGTCCCAGCGAGGCCAACAGCTGGCGGGGATCGAACCTCTCCACCCATTCGTTCAGCTCCTCCTGACCGTGCGCGCGCACACAGAAGGTGCCGTGAGCGCACTGTTTGGGATCGTCGGCAGGGCAGCGGAGATACTGGTCGGGAGTGAGGCCACGCGGCGGCTCCCGAAACCGCCAGCGGACCGGCGCCGGGGGTGTCACTGTCGGGAGGGGAGAGGGGCGTCATATCATTTGGGTGAGATTAGAAGGGAGATGTCAATAGATGTGACTGACATAAATGTAAGAGTGAAATGTGGACTACGTTTGTTAACTACTGCAAAAAGTAAAACTACCATAAGACTTTAACTATATTACGTAGGTAGGTATTCGAAAAAAAAACATTTTTTTTCAGACATTTCGGTTTGCAGGCAACAGGACATAAACATATAAGAACTCAAGGCATTCGAAGCAAGATGCCCATAAAAAGAAGATTTTGTTTCGATATTGATGGTGGTCTTCAAATGAGAGACATGGAATGAATTTTCAAGCATCTTACCTTTACCAACCATGCTAGATCATAACAGCACAGTCAGCCAGAATGAAGTCAATTTACTCAAGGTTTCACTTGATGTCTTATATAGCAGTAGCAAACAGATCTGAAAGGCAGAAAGAGAGCTTATTACAGTGTTCACGTAAATACCGGCGAGTGAACCGGTGAAAACATGAGTTTGGAAACGAAGATGCAGCGGAAGCACGTCAAGTCATCACTGCCGAATAACTTTTGTTACGGTGATTCCGTTGAGTTTGAGCGAGTCTTGCAGGCTGTATTATGGGACATGGGCCTCGTTTCATAGAGCGAGTCCGTAACTTACGGCGGTTTTTGGTCCTGTATTGCAAGTGCATGTGAAGCGATGACGTTAGTTTGAATCGTTGAATTTAGTTATCTTGCAAGCAAGAACAGAAGGGAGGAGGGGAAATAAATTTATCGCTTCACATCCACTTGCAATACAAGATCAAAACCAGGCGTAAGTTACGGACTCGCTTTATGAAACGAGACCCAGGAAGGCGCTATTCTGTTCCAATCGGTGCCGAAATTATCGACGATCCTTGGATACTCAATACTCATGCATCATAATAAGTATAACAGCGCAGCTAACGATTGTAATGCCCTACCGCGATGACATAGCATTTAATTCACTTTTTTCTTTTAGACAAACCAATGAGCACAAGACTGCAGTGCACCCTGACCCTGTACGTGCCCAACCACCCCAACTGAGAATTGTGAGATCCAAGTCGCACATTAGGACCCTAACAATGCTGTCGCTTTGAGCGCAATTGAAGCTTGAACTATCTGTTCTCGATTGATAATGAACCGTGACACATGGCACTGCACCCTACGATAAGTGTCATGCCAAAGATAAGCCAGGTTTGAGTGCGATCCGCACGGACAATGCGGAGTTATTAGGAGCAAACAGTGAAGAGGCCCATACTGCAAAGATAAGCAAAACAAGCTGAGCATGAGTGACCAGTTGTAGAGCCGTAGGCTGTGGTCATGCTTTTGTGAGCTTTGGATGTACTAAACAAATTTGGATGTATCTAAACACCACAGCCATGGGACAAAATGACAAGCACTCTTCTATGTTCGCTCACCCCATTTCATGAGCCACAAATTATTCCTGTCGCAGCCCAAAATCAGCTCTCCTCTAAGCTCATCCAAACCCCTATCAGTTTTTTATTGGAGGAGCCAGTGTGAGTGGAATGCACCCAGCACAACTACACTTTCCAGTTTCCACACTGCCAGGGCAGGACCACTTGACAACAATGGTCTCAGGCAACTCCATCACTCAATGTACCACTGCACATGTCCGCTTCAGGCACAAAATGAGAACCAGGAAAAACACATTTTGCTGACTTATCCCAATGGATCACAGGAATGCTGGATGCAGCTCAGGATTGCAATGGTCAGCTTATCTTCAAGTGGAACATACTTTGCATTGAATCTGAGATCAGCTTGAGATGAATTGAGATCTCATCTCATCAAAATTGTCATGCCTACCAACACTTCACTCTTTGCAATTCACAATCAATGTAAAGCTGAGACTAGAGCTTTCAGGTGTCTCAATGCTGATCAACAATGAAATACAAAGAAAATATAGCAACATTCAAGCTTCAATATCTGTGAATTTGGCCACTGGCCACTGCTACTAGACAGCACCCATACTGTAAAATATGGCATGTTGATAAGGTTGCATCAGTGTGGGGGCACACAGCCTGTGTGCTATGCAAATTTTGCCTGAGGTGGACATCGTGAAGCGAGTTCTAAAGTGGCACTGCTGATGCCACACTGTTGCCCTGATACAGGGTGAGGGTGTCCTGACAAAATAATCGCCTTGCGACACAAGGCTTGTTGGTGAAATAATAATTGCAGCTTTAATGCAGTTTTATCATTTATGATAAGAAAAATTTTCAATGTGAGTAAAGGTTAAAGGCCATATCCAGTGGAGAAAGTATGGTTTCAGAGTGGTAGGTGTGAGACGGTTTAGACTAAGCACCCTAGCTTATGTAATTTGTCAATTCTGCTGCCATTTAGAAAAAATAGCTCAAATGTTTGAATACATAGATTTAGAGCCAGAGCCCATGCTATGAGCGTAGCATCTTGCGTGAACCCCTCCCCCACAGTCCGATTGTGCAATTCTGGGTAACGTGAGAATGTAGGTTATAGGCAGGGCTGCGGAGTGCGGAGTCGATGGATTTTTGACGACTCCGACTCCGACTCCGATTCCGGCTTTCAAAAACTAGCTCCGACTCCGACTCCGGGCAGAATTGTCGACTCTGACCGACTACAACTCCCGACTCCGACTCCACAGACCTAGCAGGGCTGCGGAGTCGACAGATTTTCGGTGACTCCGACTCCGGCTAGGGTTTCTAAAATCGACTCCGACTCCGACTCCGGTCACAACTGTCGACTCCGACTCCGCAGCCCTGGTTATAGGTACCAAAGTTTTAAAATTTAAGTATATTACCCATCAAAGCCGGACACTGCTTGCCCCCACCCAACTTCAAATTGACTGTGGCTGGCTGCTCCCACTAACCTCAGACCATCTCCCGACTCCCGTCACCTGTCCAGTCGGGCGCACTGTGGTATCTCCGATTCATTTATGGAGACGTTTCAATTATTGGAAACGTTTCCAATTTTACTACTCTTCTGTTCCAAAAATGGAAACGCTCTTTCCATAAATAGAAACGCTAACATCTCCGCACATATTTTCTTGCCAAGGGTGGCTGGATTCGATGTATAACAACTGTTTCGCGTAAAACAAGCTCAGATACACCATAAGCACTTGTCTTCTTGCATGGAAAGCTGTCGTACCTATGCATTAAAATTCACGTCTTTAAAATGCTCCTGAATCGTATCCATTTATGGAGACTTAGTTTCCAAAAATGGAAACGCCGATGTTCCAAAAATAGAAACGCAGAAGTTCAAATGTGTGCAAACTTAGCTTAAATGTGTTTTTAAAATTCACATGCAACTAAAAATTTGATGTTTTGGGACTGGTTTAGCATCTCGGCTTTCGGCAGTTACCTTGGACGTCGGGTTCGATAATTCCTTACGCGCCGCAACTTGAGCACATTCAAGTCAACTAAAACTAAGATTTCCCAGAAACTACTGGACAGATGTGGTCCTAAGTGGGCAATACATAAAGCGTAGATATCATTTCAATATATAAAATTAATATCAATGTTACACATGAGCTAGAATGAATAAATTCATCGTCAGAATACAACGGTATTTGGTGTGACGACGGTGCAGACCTTATTTCCATCCTGCTTTTTACGTATTTGCACGGAGATTTACGTTGATCCGAGCCTACGATCATATTCAGCACATTTGAAATATCATAAAATGCCCACTTAAGTCTCCAAATAGGGCTTTGCAACAGCTTTCATGCGATTTAATCAAAGATTGACGACCACCAGGCCGCTGGTACACCGGAAAACGCAGCGTGAAAATGAATGAAAAACTGAAGTTCCCGGTGATGTGGTTGTTCCAATCAATGGGTCAGTCTTTCAGTAGTCTGTTAAAAACGTTATTTTTGGTTCAAAACATTCATAAATGTCATTATTTTCGATTAGAAAAACGTGTGAATTTTTTATCACGTCAACATGTTATAAGCATCGCCTCGTTCGTCAACTTTCGGTTTTCTGATCGGAAAGTCGGAGGACAGGAACATAAACTAGAATGCTGGCTGTCGATTGGTGGCATCCTGCGCATGCCAAATTGCACCAATCAATGCCCAGTTTATTTATTTATTTATTATTTATTGAACGTCTTTGGACCATCCACAGGAGCCGTGGCTATTCTCAGTCCAGTGTCACAATCGCTGAACAGTAGTAAAAGTGGGTAAAAAGGTACATGCATTCACATACACACATAAAACGCATAATAAAAGAAAAAGAGAAACATCACAGCGCAAGTTACAAGTTTCACAAGCGGTAAATAAGCCTC